AATCATCCACCGACCTAGAGAAAGTTATTTTAATAAATGGATATTGGCAAGTGTGCAATTAACTTCTGATGATGAATAACTACTGTTCAATAAGTTTTAATACGGACTTGGAATTCATTTTACTTGGTTTCATAGTGCGGTAAGAAGTTGCAGTTGCCTGACGGCCCCTCTCTGGGGGCCCCTTTGGAAACCGTTTCATCTCGCCCAGACCGCTCGTGTTTACTGCCTAGTCAGGTGACGTTATCGGCGCTATTTTTAGCAGGGCTTTCCCGAACAATTCAAGTGGCCAAACTGGACATTTGGAACGGACTATGAATATGGGGATAGCGAGGTAACATAAGTGGAAGTGCATACAATACATACATTCATTAAAAAAAATATGGCTCTTCACGTGATGCCCCTTTAACTCATGTAAAGGCGTGCATATTACCAACAGTGGTACATTTGCTAAACTATCTGGTTAAAATGGTACAACTAAGTAGGCACCTTTAAATTTAATTTAAAATTATCATACTTGTAGGTACAGCATATCATCTCATTCTGGTACGTACAACTTATTTCTACGTACACAAAAGTATGCTGTGTGAAGATACTTTCTTGTACGTACACGATGGTAAGCTATAAGTACCACAATGAGATATTATGTTGTACATACAAGATAGTTAATCAGTTCCAACAATATATATAATACCAAAATAGTTGAATGGATATGTTTAGTCGATTATACATAATATTGTCAGCCGAAAAAAACCTTTATCGTTCTTGTATAATGATATGATTAATATCACCCGGGCGGTTAGGAAGGTTACAATAAAAAGTATTAATTTTCAGATCATCTATAACGAGCGGTCAATAAGATAATTATGCAACTTATGCTAGTATATTTCCGCCGAGCGTTGCAAGTTGGAACTTGGGGTTTTGCGGAGGTGGTAAAATAAAAAATAAACACTTTAGGGTCAAGATACAAAGTAGACGAGCGTAGCGATGCCAACAAATATTGTTTTAATAAAGAAAATATAGTAAAAATATCAGATAACGGATACCCACAATATTTGCTAGGATGCCGTATGGGATGTGTGGGGCATAGCCCCAGATTTTTTTTATACAAGCTCCGTGCATTATTTGATATAGCGCCCTTTCTAACTAACATCAGCCACTCTAAAGCGCTTTACAGTACATAGATATACAATTTTATAAGTCAATACAATTAACATATATATAAATCAATACAATATCGAGGAGGAATTTGCAGGAGCTGCCTTATCAGGCGCTAACTACTAGTCCTATGCCTCCTGGCTAATATCTCCTTATGTGTGTATGCCTGTGTGTGCTGGAGATGTATTGTGTTCTGTTTGTAGTGGGACCGTGCTTCCAACGGTATCATTTATAGTGCCACCTCACTTCACAGCACAGATACCGCAACACCCACCCCAGACCATTTTATACTCCACCTGGGTTGTTGGAGTTGTGTGAGCAGGAGAAAAACACTTTCTCTAATATTCCATGCGTACGGCGACTGCGGGGATCGAACCCCGGCCGCCTGCATGGAAGACCGGAGTGTTAACCACTCGACCAATCCGCCTGTAGACAGATTTCATATATAGGAAGTTTTTAAAGAAGTTTAAAATATAGATTACCATTGTAACTATCTATAGGCAAGTTGACAATGTTAGTTATATTTTAAATTTTGTGAAAACTTTGCATGTTTTTCCAATTAAAAGTATCACTACGCTTACTTTATGTCTACCAATTTGACATATTTAGTATCAAAATAACAGTAATCTTATACACTATACACTATCATAATTCATTTCCAAATTAACATTTGCCTGTGATATTTATCGGTCATTTTGTTAGGATACCCCCGTCCCTCAACCTGGAGTTATGCAAGGAGGTCCACTACGGTTATCAGTAACAATTATTAGTAATCATTTATGCAGTTATTGATCATTTTTATGTATCTACATATGGCAAAAGAATAAAGGAAATCAAAGCGGGGCCAAATGTTGACCCCACCTTTTGGAATCTACTACAAACGAGGCAAAGGTCCGTATTCTTATCATTAATGGGTATTCGGAAAGATTATAATATAGAAGCGTGATTAGCTAGTATATCGGAAGGGTTATCTTGTTATAATCTGCTTAAAATAAACTTTATTTATAACAATGATGAAACAAGTTATTTCAACTTATATTAATCACTCTTGTTGACCCGGATCTTAGTGTGGGAGGAAACCGGTGTACCTGGGGAAAACCCACGTGGTCGAGCAGGTGTCCCCATACCTTTTCACGTCCGATTGAAGAATCGAACCCCGGTATCCACTGCGCACCCAATCTGCTAACCTACCTCCAACTTATATACTTTGCGAGCCAAATCAGGGCAGGGCATGGGAATTATACAATGAAGACAACACAGTTTCAATGCGAAAGGGATCCTCTGACTGGGTCTCTGAAATTTCCATATTTCGAATTTTCCGGACCACAAACTTGCTAATCGCTGTGATATTACCATTGATTAAAGTAAGCTCGAAATTTGTAGTGTACGTATGTGCATTACAAGTTCTTTTTTGACTGTAGAAAAAAGAGACTTTCCATGTTTTGTACTAGACCTACAAAACATCATGGATATTGTAAAATCTTTTAGTTTAGTGAACAAAACTTATTCAATTCATATTTTTTTGAATTTACACAGACAAAAAACAAAAACTCTACAAAATGATGTGTAGGCACGTGTCTACTCGAGCCTAAGGCAGCTAGCTATTGTACTTGTTTGTCGCTTAACATAAAGATACAAAAATATAAAGTTAAGTTAAGACAGAGAGATTTACACCTCAGTGGATTAAGGTCAGACTGTTATAGTAAATATATTAAGTGTTATAAACCAAAAGTGAATGTGAACACCTACACCAAGCCGACTGTGTCTCGCTGTTAGTAATGGAGTTACAGATACTGAGTACAAAATAGGATTAAAAGTAAAACAACTCATTTTTCTATCGTAACGATTCAATGTCGAATTGCAGTATTATCCTGTTACAAATATTAGTAATATTAACAATGGCTAGAAGTGGAGGAAGTGTTTAAAAAGACAAGTGAAAAAAAAAGGGTTTAAAAGGCAAAAACACAAAGAATGGATCAAACCAGGGACTTGGGCACTTATTGGCAACAGGAAAGAGCTGAAGAAAAAGATATATCATACACATTCAGACAGACTAAAACAGAGATTGATGGGACAATACTCCAACTGTAACAAAAAAGTATAGAAAGCCACTAGGAAAGACAGAAAAGACTTCATTGAAGGAATGGCACTAGAGGCTGAAAAGGCTGCTTCAGAACAACGAGTTGGTGATGTATATCAGATCACAAAGAAGTTCTGTGGTTACAAAAGAAATACAAACATGCCAGTGAAAGACAAGCAATGTAGACTAATAACATCTGAAACATAGCAATCAAGTAGATGGAAAGAACATTTCAAAGAAGTATAAAACAGAACCGATAATAGCAGTAAATATAGCAAGTGCAGAACAAGATCTTGAGATAAACACAGAAATTCCATCTAAATCGGAGATAGAAAGAGCTGTAAAGAACCTTAAAAACAACAAAGCCCCTGGAAATGATAAGCTGTCAGCAGAAATGTTTAAAGCAGATCCAACCGCAACAGCAAACATTCTACATCCAGTATTTGAAAAGATTTGGCAATATTACAAGATACCTAAAAACTGGTTAGAAGGAAACATCATAAATGTACCCAAGAAAGGAGATATCACGAACTGCAACAACTGGAGAGGTATCCCCCTTTTACCAATTCCAAATAAAATATTTACAAAAATACTTATAGACAGGATTAAAGCAGCCATTGCCAACAAGCCAAGGAAAGAGCGGCTGTAACCATATTTTTGTACTTAGAAATATCATTGAACAGTGCACAGAATGGCAGAGACAACTTATAATTAACTTCATAGATTTCGAAAAAGCGTTTGACAGTTTACACCGAGATAGCTTATGGACGATCTTACGAAACTATGGAATACCAGCAAAAATAGTACAACTTATACAAGTGTTTTATACAGACTTTAAATGTAGGTACTTCACCAGACACAAGTTTTCATGTAAAATCCGGAGTTAGACAAGGCTGTGTCATGTCATCCCTTCTCTTTATAATAGCCGTCGATTGGGTAATGAAATCACCCTTAAGCCGTAACAACACAGGCATCAGATGGAATCTATTTACATACCTAGAGGACCTCGACTATCAGACGATCTGGCCTTACTGTCACATCTTGAGACACATATGCAAGACAAAACCACAAAATTACAAGATAATGCAAGTATGGTTGGACTGAACATCAATATAAAGAAATCAGAAGTCATGCCTCTTAACATCTCAGAGCCTCCTGGAATTGCCTTGAATGGGACAAATCTGGAATGCACCTCCAAATTCACCTACCTGGGAAGCATAGTTACATCAGATGGGGGAGCAGACAAAGACATCAGAGCAAGAATGGGTAAAGCTAGAAATGCATTCTTAAAGTTACGTAACATATGGAAGTCTAGTAACATCAGCAAGAACACCAAAGTTAGACTATACAATAGCTTTGTACTATCAGTTCTCCTATGTGGGGCCGAGTGCTGGAGAATGACAGAAAAAGACATCAACAAGCTCTCCAGTTTCCATAATAGATGCCTCAGAAAGATCATGAGGATTTTTTGGCCGTGTCAAATCACGAACAACAACCTCCATAAAACAACAGGATCTAGCAACATGGAGACACTACTGAAACAAAAACGATGGAGATGGATTGGCTACGTTCTGCGTAGACCACCCGAGGACATGACCAGAGTTGCCCTAAGATGGACACCAGAGGGGAAAAAGAAAACAAAGGACGCCCAAAAACAACCTGGCGACGAATATTTGAAGCTGAAATGAAAGAGCAAGGAATCAGCTGGGGCATCATTGAAAAGACAGCACAGAATAGAGAGGAGTGGAAGAAACTAGTCCTTGCTCTATGTGCCTACGGGCATAATAAGGACTAGTAAGTAAGTAACAAACATTAGTCAACTTGAACATTTAAGCAAAAACTAAGTAAGTACAAAACAAGTTCATGTATTTAAAAGATCGAGGCATTATATAGGATGAAGTTTAAGAACAAGGAATTTATATTATAAATATAGGTATACAAGTGCTAATATTTATGCAATTAAAAATCGTAGTTAGTCGCGCGGGCCATGACAGCAGACTGTCTGAAATGACAGTAGAGTACAATACTACAGATGTAAGAAGTGTAAATATACACTGTTCCTCCAATAGTAGAGCATGTTTTTAAGCTAAAAGCGTATTGTCTGTATACATCAAAATAAACAAGTGTATGTAAGTATCCGTTAAAGTTGTAATAGTAGTTGGTGCCATTTGCCTGTTGTCTGATACACTAATTAACTAGGTCAGATCTGTTTCCCTGTTGTCTGAAACACTACCTAACTAGGTCAGATCTGTTTGCCTGTTTTCTAATACACTAATTAACTAGGTCAGATCCGTTTGCTTGTTGTCTGATACACTAAGTAACTAGGTCAGATATGTTTGCCTGTTGTCCGATACACTAATTAACTAGGTCAGATATGTTTGCTTGTTGTCTGATACACTTACTAACTAGGTCAGATATGTTTGCATGTTGTCTGATACACTTACTAACTAGGTCATTTGAATGTTGTCTGATACACTTACTAACTAGGTCATTTGAATGTTGTCTGATACACTTACTCACTAGGTCAGATCTGTTTGCTTGTTGTCTGATACACTAAGTAACTAGGTCAGATATGTTTGCCTGTTGTCCGATACACTAATTAACTAGGTCAGATATGTTTGCCTGTTGTCCGATACACTAATTAACTAGGTCAGATATGTTTGCCTGTTGTCTGATACACTAATTAACTAGGTCAGATCTGTTTCCCTGTTGTCTGAAACACTAACTAACTAGGTCAGATCTGTTTGCCTGTTTTCTAATACACTAATTAACTAGGTCAGATCTGTTTGCTTGTTGTCTGATACACTTACCAACTAGGTAAGATCTGTTTGCCTGTTGTCTGATACACTAACTAACTAGGTCAGATCCGTTTGCCTGTTGTCTGATACACTAATTAACTAGGTCAGATCTGTTTGTGTGTTGTCTGATACACTAACTAAATAGGTCAGATCCGTTTGCTTGTTGTCTGATACACTAATTAACTAGGTCAGATCCGTTTGCTTGTTGTCTGATACACTAATTAACTAGGTCAGATCTGTTTGCCTGTTGTCTGATACACTAACTAACTAGGTCAGATCTGTTTGCCTGTTGTCTGATACACAAATTAACTAGGTCAGATATGTTTGCTTGTTGTCTGATACACTTACCAACTAGGTCAGATCTGTTTGCCTGTTGTCTGATACACTAACTAACTAGGTCAGATCCGTTTGCTTGTTGTCTGATACACTTACCAACTAGGTCAGATCTGTTTGCCTGATGTCTGAAACACTAACTAACTAGGTCAGATCTGTTTGCCTGTTGTCTAATACACTAATTAACTAGGTCAGATGTGTTTGGTTGTTGTCTGATACACTAACTAACTAGGTCAGATCTGTTTGATTGTTGTCTGATACGCTTACTAACTATGTCAGATATGTTTGCTTGTTGTCTGATACACCAATTAACTAGGTCAGATGTGTTTGCTTGTTGTCTGATACACTTACTAACTAGGTCAGATCAGTTTTCCTGTAGTCTGATACACTAACTTACTTGGTCAGATCTGTTTGCTTGTTGTCTGATACACTCACTAACTAGGTCAGATCTGTTTGCTTGTTGTCTGATACACTTACTAACTAGGTCAGATATGTTTGCATGTTGTCTGATACACTAACTAACTAGGTCAGATCTGTTTGCATGTTGTCTGATACACTTACTAACTAGGTCAGATCTGTTTGCTTGCTGTCTGATATATATGTTTGCATGTTGTCTGATACGCTAACTAACTAGGTCAGATCTGTTTGATTGTTGTCTGATACGCTTACTAACTATGTCAGATATGTTTGCTTGTTGTCTGATACACTAACTAACTAGGTCAGATCTGTTTGCTTGTTGTCTGATACACTAATTAACTAGGTCAGGTATGTTTGCTTGTTGTCTGATACACTAACTAACTAGGTCAGATCTGTTTGCTTGTTGTCTGATACACTAACTAACTAGGTCAGATCTGTTTGCATGTTGTCTGATACACTTACTAACGAGGTCATATATGTTTGCATGTTGTCTGATACACTAATTAACTAGGTCAGATCTGTTTGCTTGTTGTCTGATACACTAATTAACTAGGTCAGGTATGTTTGCTTGTTGTCTGATACACTAACTAACTAGGTCAGATCTGTTTGCCTGTTGTCTAATACACTAATTAACTAGGTCAGATATGTTTGCTTGTTGTCTGATACACTAACCAACTAGGTCAGATGTGTTTGCCTGTTGTCTGATACACTAATTAACGAAGTCAGATCTGTTTGCTTGTTGTCTGATACACTAACCAACTAGGTCAGATGTGTTTGCCTGTTGTCTGATACACTAATTAACGAAGTCAGATCTGTTTGCTTGTTGTCTGATACACTAACTAACTAGGTCAGATCTGTTTGCCTGTTGTCTAATACACTAATTAACTAGGTCAGATGTGTTTGGTTGTTGTCTGATACACTAACTAACTAGGTCAGATCTGTTTGATTGTTGTCTGATACGCTTACTAACTGGGTCAGATATGTTTGCCTGTTGTCTGATACACCAATTAACTAGGTCAGATGTGTTTGCTTGTTGTCTGATACACTAATTAACTAGGTCATATCTGTTTGATTGTTGTCTGATACACTTACTAACTAGGTCAAATCTGTTTTCCTGTAGTCTGATACACTAACTTACTTGGTCAGATCTGTTTGCTTGCTTTCTGATACTTTGATTAACAAGGTCATGTCTAGTTTGCCTGCTGTCTGATACTTTAACTAACTAGGTCAGATCTATTTGCCTGGTTTCTGATACACTAACTAACTAGGTTAGATATGTTTGCTTGTTGTCTGATACACTAACTAACTTGGTCAGATCTAGCTCGCCTGTTGTCTGATTCACTTATTAGCTAGGTCAGATCTAGTTTGCTTGCTGTCTGATACATTAACTAACTAGGTCAGATATGTTTTCTTATTGTATGATACGCTTACTTACTAGGTCAGATCTGTTTTCCTGAAGTCTGATACACTAACTTACTTGGTCAGATCTGTTTGCTTGCTGTCTGATACTTTAACTAACAAGAACAGATCTAGTTTGCTTGCTGTATGATACTTTAACCAATAAGGTCAGATATGTTTGCTTGCTGTCTGATACACTTACTAACTAGGTCAGATTTAGTTTGCTTGCTGTCTGATGCTTTAACTAAATAGGTCATATCTGTTTGATTGTTGTCTGATACATTTACTTACTAGGGCAGACCTGTTTTCTTGTAGTCTGATACACTAACGAACTAGGTCTGATCTGTTTGCTTGCTGTCTGATACTTTAACTAACACGAACAAATCTAGTTTGCTTGTTATCTGATACACTTTCTAAACTGGGTCATGTCTAGCTTGCTTCCTGTCTGATACTTTAACTAACAAGGTCATGTCTAGTTTGCTTGTTATCTGATACACTTTCTAAACTGGGTCATGTCTAGCTTGCTTCCTGTCTGATACTTTAACTAACAAGGTCATGTCTAGTTTGCTTGTTATCTGATACACTTTCTAAACTGGGTCATGTCTAGTTTGCTTTCTGTCTGATACTTTAACTAACAAGGTCATGTCTAGTTTGCTTGTTATCTGATACACTTTCTAAACTGGGTCATGTCTAGTTTGCTTGCTGTCTGATACTTTAGCTAACAAGGTCATGTCTAGTTTGCTTGCTGTCTGATACTTTAACTAACACGAACAGATCTAGTTTGCTTGTTATCTGATACACTTTCTAAACTGGGTCATGTCTAGTTTGCTTGCTGTCTGATACTTTAACTAACTGTGTCAGATATGTTGGCCTGTTGTCTGATACACTAACTAACTAGGTTAGATATGTTTGCTTGTTGTCTGATACACTAACTAACTGTGTCAGATCTGTTTGCCTGTTGTCTGATACACTAACTAACTAGGTCAGATCTGTTTGCTTTCTGTCTGATCCTTTAACTAACACGAACAGATCTAGTTTGCTTGTTATCTTATACACTTTCTAAACTGGGTCAAGTCTAGTTTGCTTGCTGTCTGATACTTTAACTCACTGTGTCAGATATGTTTGCCTGTTGTCTGCTACACTAACTAACTAGGTTAGATATGTTTACTTGTTGTCTGATACACTTACTAACTAGGTCAGATATGTTTGCTTGTTGTCTGATACACTTACTAACTAGGTCAGATATGTTTGCTTGTTGTCTGATACACTAACTAACTAGGTCAGATCTGTTTGCTTGCTGTCTGATACTTTAACTAACTAGGTCAGATCTGTTTGCTTGTTGTCTGATGCACTCACTAACTGGGTTAGATCTGTTTGCTTGTTGTCTGATACACTAACTAACTTGGTCAGCTCTAGCTCGCCTGTTGTCTGATTCACTTACTTACTAGGTCAGACTAACTAGGTTAGATATGTTTACTTGTTGTCTGATACACGTCAGATATGTTTGCTTGTTGTCTGATACACTAACTAACTGTGTCTTGTCAGATATGTTTGTTTGCTGTCTGATAACTAACTAGGTTAGATATGTTTACTTGTTGTCTGATACACTAACTAACTGTGTCAGATCTGTTTGCCTGTTGTCTGATACACTAACTAACTGTGTCAGATCTGTTTGCCTGCTGTCTAATACACTAATTAACAAGGTCAGATATGTTTGCTTGCTGTCTGATACATTAACTAACTAGGTCAGATATGTTTTCTTGTTGTCTGATACGCTTACTTACTTGGTCAGATATGTTTTCTTTTTGTCTGATACGCTTACTAACTAGGTCAGATATGTTTGTTTGCTGTCTGATACATTTACTAAATAGGTCAGATATGTTTTCTTGTTGTCTGATACGCTTACTTACTTTGTCAGATATGTTTGTTTGCTGTCTGATACATTTACTAACTAGGTCAGATATGTTTTCTTGTTGTCTGATAAACTAACTAACTAGGTCAGATATGTTTACCTGTTGTCTGATACACTTTCTAACTAGGTCAGATATGTTTTCTTGTTGTCTGATACGCTTACTAACTAGGTCAGATATGATTGTTTGCTGTCTGATACATTTACTAAATAGGTCAGATATGTTTTCTTGTTGTCTGATACGCTTACTAACTAGGTCAGATATGTTTGTTTGCTGTCTGATACACTTACTAACTAGGTCAGATATTTTTTCTTGTTGTCTGATACACTTACTAACTAGGTCAGATAGGTTTTCTTGTTGTCTGATACACTAACTAACTAGGTCAGATATGTTTACCTGTTGTCTGATACACTTTCTAACTAGGTCAGATATGTTTTCTTGTTGTCTGATAAACTAACTAACTAGGTCAGATATGTTTACCTGTTGTCTGATACACTTTCTAACTAGGTCAGATATGTTTTCTTGTTGTCTGATACACTAACTAACTAGGTCAGATATGTTTACCTGTTGTCTGATACACTTTCTAACTAGGTCAGATATGTTTTCTTGTTGTCTGATAAACTAACTAACTAGGTCAGATATGTTTACCTGTTGTCTGATACACTTACTAACTAGGTCAGATATGTTTACGCGTTGTCTGATACATTTACTAACTAGGTCAGATATGTTTACCTGTTGTCTGATACACTTTCTAACTAGGTCAGATATGTTTTCTTGTTGTCTGATACGCTTACTAACTAGGTCAGATATGTTTTCTTGTTGTCTGATACACTAACTAACTAGGTCAGATATGTTTACCTGTTGTCTGATACACTTACTAACTAGGTCAGATATGTTTTCTTGTTGTCTGATACACTTACTAACTAGGTCAGATATGTTTACGTGTTGTCTGATACATTTACTAACTAGGTCAGATATGTTTACCTGTTGTCTGATACGCTTACTAACTAGGTCAGAAATGTTTGTTTACTGTCTGATACACTTACTAACTAGGTCAGATATGTTTTCCTGTTGTCTGATATACTTACTAACTAGGTCAGATATGTTTTCTTGTTGTCTGATACACTATAACTTACTAGGTCAGATTAAGTTTATCATTGTTTCGATCGTTTAAATACTTTAGGTACATACAGCATGATCTAGTATCAATTCAATTAGGTGATATCTAGAGCTGTGTTTAATAACTTTGTCTCTTCTACACAATGCAATATTATCTCTACTGTAATAGGATGTCGACGTTTAGCAAATATCGATAGGATAATGGGGCTAAAACTAAACACAATACACAGCACACTCGTTAGGGCCAATGTATATAGCTGATTTCACACCAGGTTAAGTACAACATAATCGAACATAAAACACGTGTAATATATAGATAGATCTACAAAGACGTTCTCCGGGCCGTGCTTTGTCAATACGTAGATACATATTGATTTCGTCCGAGATTAAATCCGTTGGACGTATAAATGCCCCGCAGCTGGTGTTGTCAATTTCTGTTGTGAATTTCTCAAACATACATACAGGTACGGACGGTATCTGTTAGCGAGAGGAACGACAGCGCGTTTAATAACGGTCGCATTTCTGCCGTGGCAGGTACTGAACTATACCACGCTACGTATGTGTTTTATTAGGGCCTTGCTTTTTAATGCATGCTTAGCTTAATTTCTAAAGTTCAGTTTGTTTTATTCGATAATCTATATCAGTTTTAAATCGATGTTACATGAACTTCAGAAACAAAGAGATATCAGACCGATCGCATTTATATTAAGTTATCTGTTTCATGAAATTTATCTCTGCTGTGGGTTTAAAGCTGATCGATGTATATGAAGGCGAGTCCTGTGCGTATGGCGTGTACTCATTATATGCGTATATATAGTAGAACCCCTTGTGTAAATAGGCAAAGTTCAGTGACGGCCAGGGCGACACAGGATAGTAACAGTGAAGGTACACCGTGTACAAGGAATGGAGGAGATTGGACGGGGAGAAGGGACTCTACACCTCCCCCCGGACGGGGAGGAAGAGGAGCAGCCGGACCCCCGGGTTAAGGTATGTGTAAAATGCATTAAAATACAGGTAAATACATAACAATTCGGAGAATGCACATCTGACATTTTATCAGCTGATCTGTCACATCGGTAAGGTGATGTATACCATACAGTGTGTGTATACACTTTAGCGTTCTCCCTCGGGCCAACTGTTCACGACAGACCTTATCAAGAGAATGAAATCGCGACATGATTGTGTTTACTTATTTTTGGGGAGTCCCTTTGGTAATATATGTGATTCTGTCGATAAGATGCTACCTTTATAAATGTATTAACTATCGTATCAACACTTCAAATTATATATAAATTGAATAGGTATTGTCATATGGACATAGATGCTGAGTTACACACACAGGTAAATTTAGTGGAACACACATGTAGATATACATCACGTGTGAGACCTTATTTTATAACCTCATTGTTAAACACGGCAGGTAAATTAACGACAATCTATCACTGTAATACTGTATACATGTACACATATAACACTGTAATACTGAATACATGTACACATATATCACTGTAATACTGTATATATGTACAATCTATCACTGTAATACTGTATACATGTACAATCTATCACTGTAACGCTGTATACATGTACATATCTATCACTGTAATACTGTATACATGTACAATCTTTCATTGTAATACTGGGTACATGTACAATCTATCGCTGTAATACTGTATACATGTACACCTCTATCACTGTAATACTGTATACATGTATAATCTATCACTGTAATACTGTGTACATGCACAAATCTATCACTGTAATACTGTATACATGTGCACATCTATCACTGTAATACTGGGTACATGTACAATATATCACTGTAATACTGTATACATGTACACATCTATCACTGTAATACTGTATACATGTATAATCTATCACTGTAATACTGTGTACATGCACACATCTATCACTGTAATACTGTATACATGTGCACATCTATCACTGTAATACTGGGTACATGTACAATATATCACTGTAATACTGTATACATGTACACATCTATAACCGTAATACTGTATACATGTACACATATATCACTGTAATACTGTATACATGTACACATCTATCACTGTAATACTGTATACATGTACACATCTATCACTGTAATACTGTATACATGTACACATCTATCACTGTAATACTGTATACATGTACACATCTATCACTGTAATACTGTATACATGTACACATCTATCACTGTAATACTGTATACATGTACACATCTATCACTGTAATACTGTATACATGTACACATCTATCACTGTAATACTGTATACATGTACACATCTATCACTGTAATACTGTATACATGTACACATCTATCACTGTAATACTGTATACATGTACACATCTATCACTGTAATACTGTATACATGTACACATCTATCACTGTAATACTGTATACATGTACACATCTATCACTGTAATACTGTATACATGTACACATCTATCACTGTAATACTGTATACATGTACACATCTATCACTGTAATACTGTATACATGTACACATCTATCACTGTAATACTGTATACATGTACACATCTATCACTGTAATACTGTATACATGTACACATCTATCACTGTAATACTGTATACATGTACACATCTATCACTGTAATACTGTATACATGTACACATCTATCACTGTAATACTGTATACATGTACACATCTATCACTGTAATACTGTATACATGTACACATCTATCACTGTAATACTGTATACATGTACACATCTATCACTGTAATACTGTATACATGTACACATCTATCACTGTAATACTGTATACATGTACACATCTATCACTGTAATACTGTATACATGTACACATCTATCACTGTAATACTGTATACATGTACACATCTATCACTGTAATACTGTATACATGTACACATCTATCACTGTAATACTGTATACATGTACACATCTATCACTGTAATACTGTATACATGTACACATCTATCACTGTAATACTGTATACATGTACACATCTATCACTGTAATACTGTATACATGTACACATCTATCACTGTAATACTGTATACATGTACACATCTATCACTGTAATACTGTATACATGTACACATCTATCACTGTAATACTGTATACATGTACACATCTATCACTGTAATACTGTATACATGTACACATCTATCACTGTAATACTGTATACATGTACACATCTATCACTGTAATACTGTATACATGTACACATCTATCACTGTAATACTGTATAAATGTACACATCTATAACCGTAATACTGTATACATGTACAATCTATCACTGTAATACTGTATACATGTACACATCTATCACTGTAATACTGTATAAATGTACACATCTATAACCGTAATACTGTATACATGTACAATCTATCACTGTAATACTGTATACATGTACACATCTATAACCGTAATACTGTATAAATGTACACATGTCTCACTGTAATACTGAATACATGTACAATCTATAACTGTAATACTGTATACATGTACACATTTATCACTGTAATACTGTATACATGTACACATCTATCACTGTAATACTGTATACATGTACACATCTATCACTGTAATACTGTATATATGTACAATCTATCACTGTAATACTAGGTACATGTACAATCTATCTCTGTAATATTGTGTACATGTACAATCTATCACTGTAATGCTGGGTGCATGTTCAATCTATCACTGTCATACTGTATACATGTACACATCTATCTCTGTAATACTGGGTACAGGTACACATCTATCACTGTAATACTGGGTACATGTACAATCTATCACTGTAATACTGTATACATGTACATATCTATCACTGTAATACTGTATATATGTACACATCTATCACTGTAATACTGGGTACATGTACACATCTATCACTGTAATACTGTATATATGTTTACATCTATCACGGTAATAATTGGTACATGTACACATCTATCACTGTAATACTGGGTACATGTACAATCTATCACTGTAATACTGGGTACATGTACACATCTATCTATGTAATACTGTAAACATTTACATTCTATCACTGTAATACTACGTACATGTACACATCTATCACTGTAATACAGGGTACATGTACACATCTATCACGGTAATACTGTATACATCTACACATCTATCACTGTAATACTGGGTACATGTACACATCTATCACTGTAATACGGGGTACATGTACAATCTATCACTGTAATACTGGGTACATGTACAATTTATCGCTGTTATACTGTATACATGTACACATCTATCACTGTAATACTGAATACATGTACAATATATCACTGTAATACTGTATACATGTACACATCTATCG